ATTCCATTTATACTAGTATAATGCTGATAACAGTGTAATTCCCGGTAATAAGAAATTTTGTTTTTTCTCGATAAAGGAGGTTTACTGTGCCCCAACACTCTGCAGGGAAGATCTGTGCCTGCAGCCAGATATTCCCTTTTCAACTGTTTCAATGTCCTCATTTTCTTTTAAGAGGCAGGTGGGGAAGAGATTTTGCAATACATCACCAAGGAATCTTTTTTTAATATATATTTTATTGATTTCTTTACAGAGAGGAAGGGAGAGGGATAAAGAGTTAGAAATATCAATGAGAGAGAAACATCGATAAGCTATTGGCAACATGCCCTTGACTGGAATCGAACCTGAGACCCTTCAGTCAGCAGGCTGACGTTCTATCCATTGAGCCAAACCGGCCAGGACCCAAGAAATCTTTTGAACTCTGTGAAATGTTCCCTATTTTCTAAACCCACTTTCAGAAATATAAAAACACTTGTAGCTCTCAGGAAACCCAGTGTGCAGTTCGTTCACTCTGCACCTAGTCAGATGCCTCAGTGACCATCGGGAAGGAAAACTTCCCTGACCAGGTCAAAGCCTAAAATCCAATGGTGGGAAAGAAACTGCCTGCCCTCCCCAAAGCTGCAGCCCCCACCATACAAGTCAGGGAACTCCTGGAAAGCAGAGTTGAGCACAGAAGGGATGCTCCCTGGATGTTTTTGCAGAGAAATACTGCACTTTCACCGTGGCAGTCAAGTCTGAGAAGCTATGGGACAAAATGGACTCCACCTTGTAGTCATGCTTGAGAACTGCAGCACTGCCCTCTGGTTTACTCCCAAGAGCAGGATCACCATCCTGTTTCCTAGTCCTTCTCATGCCTCTAGGTCCCCTTACAAAGAGAAGTATGCAAATATGAAGTCTACTGTATGCAATCTCTTGCAGGTATCTTAAACACAGTTTATCTCAAACCACATATACTCTTTATTCCCCAAGTCTTTACATCTTATTCTATCAATAGTATCAGTTTTCTTTCATTTCTTTTCTTTTTTTTTTTTTTTAATTTTTAAAGAGAGGAAGGGGGAGGGAGGGAGGGAAAGAGAGAGAGACTGATTTGTTGTTCCACTTTTTTATGCATTCATTGGTTCATTCTTATATGTGCCCTGACTGGGGATCGAACCCACAACGTTGGTATATTGGGACAATGCTTTAAACAAATGAGCTACCCAACTGGAGCCTCTTTAACACCTTTAAAACCACAATAGGCCAAGTGCTTTAAAAACGTTTTCACAGCCGAAACCGGTTTGGCTCAGTGGTGGAGCATCGGTCTGCGGACTGAAAGGTCCAGGGTTCAATTCCGGTCAAGGGCATGTACATTGGTTGCGGGCATATCCCCGGTGGGGGTTGTGCAGGAGGCAGCTGGTCGATGTTTCTCTCTCATCGACATTTCTAGCTCTCTATCTCTCTCCCTTCCTCCTCTCTGTAAAATATCAATAAAATATATATATTTTTAAAAATAAATTAAAAATAAATAAATAAAAACGTTTTCACATTTAATCCTCACAGTAACCTGGGAGGCTGACAAGTTACTATGGCCATTTCACAAATGAGTAATTCTAGGCAAATAAGCTCAGGGAGTTTCAACAACTCACACAGCGAATGAATTGGGAAGCAGAGGTTTCAACTAGATCAACTAGATCCACAAAACAGGCTCATACCATCAAGCCACACTTCCTCTCGGCTGATAGGTTCTCTCTCATCTACGCTGACTTTGAAGCTGGAAATGAGCAAGGTGTTCTTGATTGCTCTCTCCTTCACCCACATGGGGAGATGGCTTACTGATACCGCTTCCTCAATGGCACCGGAATTCCCGCCTTTCTTTCTCCCCACTGCCATACTCCTACTGGCCCTTCCTCACTTCTCATATGAACTACTGCAATAGCCTCCTAACAGCTTTCCAATCCGCCCCCTCAACCCACCCCACTGAAGAGAGCCCTAGTTTGTTTGTCTTTTTTATTACATATTTTTATTGATTTTAGAGAGAAAGGGAGGAGAGAGAGAGAGAGAGAGAGAGAGAGAGAGAGAGAGAGAGAGAGAGAGAGAGAGAGAGAGAGAGAGAGAGAAACATCAGTGATGTAAGAGAATCATTGATCGGCTGCCTCCTGCACGCCCCACACTGGGAATTGAGCCTGCAACCTGGGCATGTGCCCTGACCGGGAAGTGAACCATGACCTCCTACTTCTTAGGTTGATGCTCAACCACTGAGTCATTCCAGCCAGGCAACAGGTCCTAGTTTTGAAATACAAATCTGAAAAGGCACAACCCATCCAGAAGAGGAGATTTATGCCATGTATCAAGAGTCCTAATAATATTTATATCTTCTCAATTTGTAATTTTACTTCTGTGAATCTACCTTCAAAAAAAAAACAAAAAAAAACAAAACAAAAAACACCCTGTATATAGTACAAAAAAGGCTAAATGCACAATGATGATCAGGGCAATATTCATGATGTAATATATTCATCCCCTACAACTTTTAAAAACCTCTACTATGGAATAAATTATCTAAATCAAGTTAATTTCATCACCAAAGCAACAGGAAATTCTGTTTCAAGTTATCCATGACCCTGGACAGACCCTGCAGTGTGGGGTCATCTTTGGTCTCCGTTTACCTGATTCCCTCAGTTCCATTAGCCCACAAGTTTACATGCCGCCCTGCAGACATATGGGTGGTTGGTGAGGCTGGGAACCCCTCACTGCTGCCAGGGCTCAGGGGTTGAAGGAACCTGGACCCCTTCCCCAGCCTGAGGAGGCTCAGGTTCCCCTCAGAGCCATTCCCTTGCTCCTCTACACTGTCATCTCAGGGGGTTAAACTTTTGAAAACAAAGCCCAAAAGGGAAGTGTTTTACAGGCAACTTCTTCTTTCAGCTTTCCACAAACCTCCCCTGATGAAACTGAGCGCTGGAGGACAGGGGAGGAGGAAATACGAGGGAAAATACTACATTAGTATCACAAAATTAACCCTATGATCAGGCACTGTCAGAAAAAACAAATGTGAGACATGAAACATGTGGGCGGCACATAGATGCGGATGCAGAATGGACATCATACCATTTGCAAAACCTATTCACCTTTCTGTGCGAGATGCAGATTTCTGAAGTTCTGGTAAGATGGCTAAAAGAATAAATGTTAATGACAGCAACTTTCCCTGGCTTTTCCAGCCTTACAATCCCTTCCATGCCTATGCAATCTCTGTCCTGACTGTAGTGAAGCTGAGGATCCTTAGGACTTCACACTTAGCTTTAAATCCCAATCTTACAAATCATCTCTCTCTCTCTCTCTCTCTCTCTCTCTCTCTCTAATCACATGTTCAGATGAAAACGAAAACAATAATTAATAAATAATAAAACAAGAATATGCCGAAACCGGTTTGGCTCAGTGGATAGAGCATTGGCCTGCAGACTGAAAGGTCCCCGGTTCGATTCCGGTCAAGAGCATGTACCTTGGTTGCGGGCACATCCCCAGTAGGGGGTGTGCAAGAGGCAGTTGATCCATGATTCTCTCTCATCGATGTTTTTAACTCTCTATCCCTCTCTCTTCCTCTCTGTAAAAAAATCAATAAAATATATTAAAATATATATAATATATTTAAAAAAGAATAAAATCTGTTTCATACTCATTACAGTAAACCTACTTTGGCCCACCAGTGTATACATTCCCCTTAGATACCTACCCTTTCTCCCAGTTAATCAGCAACCCCCCAGGCAGAAGGAAACAGTAGCCCAGACTTGACTAATGGCCACATGGTCCAGACCTCTGGGCCTAAAGATAACATCCTGACCTAAATTATGCTTCAGTTCCTGAGCCCTAAGGTAAAATGACACCTGGGGCTGCTTTCTCACTAAACCAGGCGGAGGGACCGTGGAACAGGCCCTGGAGCTGTCCATCTTCAAGGCCGAAGAAATGATTTCTTACCTTTTCCTCATCTGCAACCAATCAGCTTCCAGCATGACCCCAACCTCCTAACTCACAGTACCCATATGACCTATCTGACCTGTAACCTCCGTGCCATCAGGGCATTCGGGCTTTTGAGCAAGTAGCTTCCTTGTTCTCCTGGATGGTGCTATTCATCAATAAAATAACCATATTTCTCCACTGCAATCCTTTGTGCTCCGTGTTTGGCTCTGCTGGCACCGGTGGAAGAACTCGTTCTGTTCCATAACAGTAGCTTTAGCTGTAGCTGGGCTGAATGACTGACAATCTCATCTTCACCTCCAGCCCTGACTCCTCAGAGACTTCTGCTCCGTGTCTCCATCAGACTAGAAATCAGCGCCATCGGAACGCCCTGCTTTCATCTAAGTCCAAAATCAGTGTCATTGTCTTTACCCCAGGCAGCTTCCTCTGCGCATGTCATTTCTGCCCGCGAGATGTGCGTGTATAGGCCAAGCAAAGTTCCTTCCTCTACACTGGCCATTTTCTTTTCTTTTTAAAAAAATATATTTTATTGCTTTTTTTACAGAGAGGAAGGGAGAGAGATAGAGTCAGAAACATCATTGTTACTGCCAGTAACAATGAAGATTGTAGCCTCTATCCTTCCTCGCTGTATCCTCTATAGACTTTTTAGCGATTGTCCTTTTCTTTTGTCCCCCTTCTCTTCATTATTGCATTTAAAGTATTTCAGTGAGGGTGAGCTTTAAAATGTACTTGACAACACTGAAATAGGATGATGATGATGATGATGAAACTTAGAGGAAAAATGCATCATCGCCTACATATTTGGACTTGGGCCAGATTCAATAACTGATGAAACTCTGAGCCGGAGTCCTCATTTGGGGAGGAAATGAGTCCATTCTCATTGTTGCTGTAAGAGCGATGGTTGCATTATCTTGGGTGGGAGTGTTTTTATTTAAATCTGAGAGCACAGACCAGCACTCCATTCAGAAGCTGAAGAGGAGCCCAGGCTGCCACCCCACCAGCTCCCTGCCGCCCTGCGTGCGTGCTGCAGGACTCCCTCCAACAGCCTGTGAGCCATGGTGAGTTACTATGAGGTTCTAGGTGTGCAGAGACATGCCTTGGCTGAGGACATCAAAAAGGCGTATCGGAAACTGGCACTGAAGTGGCACCCAGATAAAAATCCTGAGAATAAAGAAGAAGCGGAGAGGAAATTCAAACAAGTATCCGAGGCGTATGAGGTGCTCTCCGACGCTAAGAAACGGGACGTCTATGACAGATGCGGCAAAGGAGGATTCAATGGTGGAGGTGGAGGTGGAGGTGGAAGAAGTCACTTCGACAGACGGTCCGGGTTCGGCTTCACATTCCGGAAGCCGGATGACGTGTTCAGGGAATGTTTTGGTGGAAGGGACCCGTTTTCATTCTCGGAAGACCCACTTGATGACTTCTTTGGAGCTCGGCGGGGTCCCAGTGGGAGCAGGAGCCGGGGAACCACCTCGTTCTTCTCTGCCTTCACGGGGTCCTCTGCTTTCGGTGGAAAGTTTCCATCTTCCGATGCAGGATTTTCTTCCTTCGGGCCCATAGGCCCTGGGGGTCTCAATTCATTCCCTTCCATGTCCTTTGGTGGCGGTGGTATGGGCAACGTCAAGTCCGTGTCAACTTCCATCAGAATTGTTAACGGAAGAAAAACCACCACAAAGAGGATTGTCGAGAATGGTCAAGAGAGGGTAGAAGTGGAAGAAGACGGCCAGTTGAGGTCCTTGAAGATAAATGGTAAGGAGCAGCTTGGATAACAAGCAATTCAACGCACACACGCATGGAACAGAGATGTTAACTGTAATTAGCACCGTTTGAGGACTAACAGGAACATTTTTTTTTTTTAAGATTTCAGATGAATTCGACTTTCAGTATAACTGTCCCTAAAGTATTTATACACAGCTCATCGGAGCCTGTTGGTCAGACTGTTCAGTTATTGTTGGGACCACACGATAGGACCTTTTCTTTTTGGTGTTTGCAATTGTTGTAAATCTCCGTAACGCACTTTGCTTTTTATTAAATGTGGCGCCATACACTAATACCAGCACGGACCGGCTTTCCGCTGTCTTTAAGCGTGAGCCAAGCAGCGGTGGCCTGCTGTGAAGCTCACGTTGCCAGGCCTCGCTCCCCAGAGCAGTTTCAGTCTTTCCGTGTTGAGTAGTGAAAGGTACTAATGCATCAATGGTAATTCATTTCTGGTTTAGTATAAATGGAGGGTGTTTTCTAGTTGTGCATGAATGCTGGCAACTTAGTAAGTTTTGACAGTTGTTTAAATGTGTAATATTAAGCGTAGGTTTAAAAAGTAAAGCTGGTAAAATGGGTCTTTGTTATTTGCTTTAAAAAAAGAAAGAAAATAAGTGCAATGTGTTTGGAGCAAAAAAAATTAATTAATTAATTTGAGAGCACAAGGTAAAGCATGTCTGTGGATATTGGGCATTCTTGGCCTAAGAGATGGACTAGAGTTCTTTTTGGCTACCCAGCATCTGAACACCCTTTGAAATTGGGGGGAGCCCACCCTACTCTGAGTCTTGGGCCCCCCTCTCACACCAGAAGCCAATGAGTCCAGTAGAAGCCACAGCAGAAACCAGAACTCTCCTTGCCTATCGGAACACAGGCATATGACCTACACTAGACCAAGTCAATGATCCTGACCACAAACATGAATCTTTTTTTTAATATATATATATATATATATATATATATATATAATTTATATTTTACAGAGAGGAAGGAAGAGGGATAGTCAGAAACATCGATGAGAGAGAAACATCGATCAGCTAGCTGCCTCTTGCACACCCCCTACTGGGGATGTGCCCGCAACCAAGGTACATGCCCCTGACTGGAATCGAACCTAGGCGGACGCTCTATCCACTGAGCCAAACCCGTTTCAGCCACAAACATGAATCGTGAGAGGATAGTTAATATCACAGAAGGGTTGAAAAGCAATTCATGGCAAGATGAAAAGTGCAGGCCTGCACTCCAATCAGAGCTCTTGAGCAGCATGGCTTTTGCTGATCATCGCTGCCTGGCCTTCCTGCGTTTCTCCCATTCCGGGACCTGGTTCTCCAGCTCTTTAGTGTAAGGATTATTCGCATACACAGCACCAGGCTTACTTTGCCATGCTTAGAGACACCACAGGAAAAGAATGAGCCGTTCTCTCCCAGCTTCCTCTCTGAAATCCCAGACAAGGGCTCATACCACCTCAGGTTGGGTCACACGGATGAGGACTAGAGGAGGGGCGAGAGTTGGCCAGGCCTGAGCATCATGCCTCTCTTTTTCCCCTCCCTTCCTGACTTGGGAGGCCCTTAAGAACTATCTGATCCAGGGGATTTTAGGCCATCCCTCAAAGAAAAAAATTACTTGTCAGGCAAAAACAAAAGATGCTTACAACACAAAATCACAGAATGTCAGAACTGAAAAAACCCTCAGGAGTCACCCACCCAATCCCCTCTTACAGGTGAGGACACCATGCGGGGTGGACAATGAAACAGGCCATGGGAAAGGTACACATCGTGTGCTGCAGAGTGTACCTCCATGGAGGGAGCATGCACATCTGATTGAGCTCAGGGTGGGCCTGATGAAGGTGGTGGGATCTGACATGGGACCAGACACACAGCCTGTCAGGGCTGTGCTGGGTCTTCTGCTAACTTCAGAATTACCTTTCTGCTCATAGTCTGCTTATGTCAAATTTTACCACTTAGAAGTTCCTTGGACTTTTGAAATCTTATCCATTCAGCCTTGATCCCTTCCCTCCCCGCCATGCCCCTTTCCCCGCAAGTTCCCTTCCGTTGAATTTGGTGCCCTGGTTCTCCACTGGACCTGTTCTCTTTCCAGCTGTATGTTCTGAGAAGACCCAGGGTCACAAACACAAATGCCTTCAGATGTCAATCAGGTAACAAATGTATTATAGGCTGGCTGTTACTTAGCGCACAAGTGCTGCTGTCCTTTGGGCTTAAATTCTCCTAAAAACAAACCAACAAAAACATCTGTGGGCTAGTTTCGGCTCTTGCTGTCAAAACTTTGTGACTCCTGGGCCAGACAAAAACTCTAACCTCCCAAGGAGCTATGGGAGAGTTCGGGGGGGGGGGGGGGGGGGAGGAGAAGAAACAAATGTAATAATCTGAGCAATAAAGATTTATTAAAAAAAAAAAAAACAAAAAAAAACAACTCTAACCTCCCCTTCCCCTGCCCCCTCTCCAGCAGTGACACAGCTCTAGCGTTTATTGCCCAGCGGAATCCCGTTAGCGGCGCGCCGGGCATGGAGCAGTGCGCTCTGAGCACAACGAATGAATGAGCGAACGCGGACTAACCACGCGGCCTCCGCGCAGGGAGAGAGCGCCGCGGCACCCCTCCGCCGCGCCGCCAGACGCCGCGCCCTCGCACGACCCCACTTGGGGGCGCCGAACTAGCGAACGTGAGCCGCGCGCGCGGAAGGCGAGGGAGGGAGGGAGGGCGGTCGGGCGGGAGCAGGCCCAGAGCCCGAAGAAGATCCGGCCTCCGCTGCGCCCCTACGTCACAAGGGGTGGGCCCTTCTTGCAGGAGCGGGACGCGCATTGGCCGATTCTCCGGGCCGAGGGCTGCGATTGGCCGCGCTTCGCCAGAGGCTCCCTCCGCCCGATGCGGGCGGGGTGCGAAGGGCGTGTCCGGCGCTGGTCCCGCCCCGAGCGTTGGGGCTCCCGCGCGAGGGCAGCGGTTTGCACCTGGAGCCCGGCCGCGGGGCTGCCGTCTGGGGCTGCCGGGGCCGCGGGCGCCGCCGCAGGCCTGCTTGGGGCGTCCGGAGCGTCCGAGGCGCGGTAGGTGGTGCCCGCCCGGCGCGGGTGTCGGGGGATTCGCGGGGCTGGAGGCGGCGGCCCCGGCAGTCCCCTCCCGCCGGCCCGGCCCCCTGTGCCCTTCGGTCTCTCCGGGTCTGGGAGGCCGGGCGGGCTGCTGGGCCTCGCGTTCCTCCCCCCGCATCCACCCCCAATGGGAGGGCACGAAAGCTATCTGGGCGCAGGGGCGCCTCGTGCCTCCGCCTCCATTTTGCGGACGGAACGGCGGGTGCGGGTCGCGGCCGGGGGTCGGGGCGCGGAGGCGGGAGACGGGACTGGGGAAGCCCGAGCGCGGAGGGGATGGGGGGGCCTCTGCCTCCCGGGAGCTCCCTGCCCCTCAGGGCTTCGCCCCGGGGTGGTGCTGTTTACCCCGCGCCCACGCCGAGGCGCCCCGGGGTGTAAGGGACTCGGACCCGGGCGCACCAGCCCAGGGCCGTTCCCACGGGGAAGAGGAACGATGCTCGCCCGGGATGCAGCTGTTCGAGGGGAGCACGCACGCTATCTCACCCAGGCCTCCAGCTGCCGTCGCTGGAACTGCTGTTTGCAGCCCAGGGGCACGCTGGCCAAAGCCTGTTTCAGGCCCTTCATTTAGGATTACGAGGTAGAGTTCGGTGGGTGTATTGTTTGTAACATAAAAATGAGCGGAAGCCTGCCAGAGCACATTGGACCAGTCACTGGGAGTTCACTGGGGAGTGGAGGGAGGTAGTGGGAAGATTAGCTAGCCGTTGGTAAATACCCTAACAGTTTCGGAATCTTGGGTGTGAAGAATGTTGTTAAAATGCTTGACAAAGTGTGTGATGTTAGAAATCGAGCCTAGCTGGTTTGGCTCAGTGCATAGAGCATCGGCCTGCGAGCAGAAGAGTCCCGGGTTCGATTCCAGTCACAAGGGCACATTCCTGGGTTGCTGGCTTGACCCCCAAGTAGGGGCATGCAGGAGGCAGCTGATCAATGATTCTTTCTCAACATTGATGTTTCTCTCTCTCTCTCTCTCTCTCTCTCTCTCTCTCTCCCTCTCCCTCTCCCTCTCCCTCTCCCTTCCTTTCTGAAACCAATAAAAGTGTATTAAAAAAGAAAGAAATCAAGGGTGTAGAGCTTGGCTAAAAGAAGTAGAAGTCACAACTTATCCCTGCTTCTTCCTCCACTTGGGTCCATCAATACTGGGTCACTTGATACAGGACTCAGTGTCACCTCTTTGGGAATGCTTTTTAAAGCTTTCCCAAACCCTCCCCACCAACTAATAATCCCTCCCTCCTGTAGGCTACCTTCTGTTGCTGTTGTGTGGTTTCCCCAGCCCCTAGCACAATGCTTGGAACACAAGTCATTCTGGCTGAAGGGAGCCAAAAAAACCCAAACAAACAAAAACACAAAAAGTCAGCTGCGTGGCCCAAAAGTTTACAAAACAAAAACTGCACTCGCGTTATTTTGTTGGACCAATTATTCTTAAAGGGCAGGGAGGCCTCGATCTCTGGCACTCAAGTCAAATCAGACTTTAGCTCTTCCATGTTACTAACTCTAGACAAGTGATTAAACTTCTCTGGGCCTCAGTTTCCTCATCTGTAAAATGGGAGCTACTCCATGGGTTCTGAGGACTAAGTAATTGACAGAAAGTGCTTAGCATAGTCCTTGGCACACCGGAAATGTTCAGTAGCTGTTAGTGGTTGTTATAAAAAATAAACAGGTACTTTTATAACAGGTTGTTATAAAAAATAAACAGGCCCTTTATATCTGCATTGTTTTTGACTCTTTAAGACCTGTCCTATGTGTTTCTTGATTTTAAAAAAGCCCTTAAACTTTTTCAGATCCCACCCCAACCTCCCTCAGTAAAAGTGCATATAGGCAAACTTCATTTTATTGTGTTGCACACATGTTGCATTTTATACAAATGGAAGGCAAGCCCTTCAAGCAAAAATATAACTCATCTTATTGCTGTGCTCGTTTTATTGCTGTTG